CACACAAAATATTTCATTGTCCCAAATCACTAAAAGTACCAATGTACTGACATTTAAATCCATGAAAAATTACCAAATGATTTTTCAGAGGCAATTAGCTTTGAATATAAACATATTTCCTTCCAGTTTTTCCACTTCCTCACACAAACTTTTTTATGTAATCTAAAATGGGCTAAACTTTCTCCATTTCAAAAATCACTGACAAGTCCTTCCCACAAGCAATAGCCTCAACAGACTGGCTCTAAAACCTTGCCAGAAAACACAAGCTTAAGCTGTCTTCAAAGGAAACAATACTATAGCATAAATAATCTCATTTCACAGGTTGAGACCTTGTAAACCTGTTACAAATGCCTGAAATGTTCAGCTGATGGGACCTACCCAGGCTTCTAATCACAGTCTCTCCTCCTCAGACAAATCGGTGAAAACAGAAGAGTCATTAAAGAATACTACTCTGTGGCAATTCCAAAGTGTCCATGATAAACAGTGTACAACACTGCTCATGGAAAATACTTGGGCTCTGACTCAAAAAGTGAGTGAAGAAAGGACACAGACCCCTAACTAACACAAAAATGAAATTTTTCAGAGAGAATTAGGTGATGGCAATTGCCTACAGTCAATTGCTTCTATAATTCCATGAATATGGGCCAAAACAAGGTTTCAGACAATTAGTTGTCAACATAAACCTCATTTCACCACATAGTTAGCTTGACTCAGTATCAAGCAGTGTTTCATCCTATTTGTAGGAGCAATCTACAGGCAGGCGAATGTACTAGAATTATATTTCCAGGCAGGGTCTACAGCCATGGAAATTAAAGGAAACAAGCTAAAAAACATGTCCAATTAAGATCATTGTCTCTAATCACTATTGCTATATCTGCAGCAGTTCGGCTTTGAATGCTTACTCACGATATCCACCTTGATATTAGGCATAATAACGTAGCTGCCACTGATGGAATGCTTGCTATTTCCCAGGCAGCATGCTACAGTCTTCATGCATTCATTCAAATAATATTTATTAAGTACCTACCATGTGACAGAACTCTTTTAGTGTTCAGGGTACAGTTTCAATAAAAGAAAGTCCCTGCTATCATGGGACTTTCCAGTAAGAAAAGTAGGAAAATAGAAAAGTAAATATAGACCATATCAGTTTTATTTTTCAGTAATTTAATCAAAACTAATATATGAATTATAACCAAAAGTTTAAATACTGGAACAAACACGTTACTATAACGTAAAGGTAATGTTCTGGCATATAAAGGCAACAGTATGAAGCTATTAATATTTATTTTATCCCATATTTTAAAAACATCCTGTCCCATAGCATCAAAAATCAGGACTTACCAAAAGGTTTTCTGGCTTGAGGTCCCGGTGGACGATGCTCTTGTCGTGCATGTGGACGAGGGCCTTACATAAGTCCATGATCATGAGGGCAGCGTCGGGCTCGGGAAACTTCACACTTTCTATCAGGGCATCAAAAAGGTCCCCACCCGGCACGTACTCAAGGATCAGGTAGATCTCAGAGTCCGTCTCGTAGACTTCATGCAGCTTCACGATGTTGGGGTGGGAGAGGCTCTGGATGATCAGAATCTCACTGTCAACCATGTCCTCCTTGCCCTTGAGCCGGGCCTTGTCGATGATCTTCATGGCGTAGGCCTGCCTGGTGGCGCGGTGCCTGCACTCCTTCACCACCGCGAAGTTGCCGTCGCCGAGCACCCGGCCGGTCTCGTAGTGCTTCTCCACGTCGGCCGCCAGGACGCCCGCGGGCCGCGCCTTCCGGCCGCCCGGCCGCTCCAGCCGGCCCTCCTCCGGCCGGGGCTTGGGCTCCTTTTCTACCCTCGCAGGCTGGTCGTCTCTGAGAGCCAACTTTCTCCCCGCTGACGCGCATGGCTTCTTCTCCTTCTCTGTGTCCTTCTCCTCTCCCCGAGTCCTGGGGAGCCGCTCCGCGTCAGCCTGGTGCTCTCTCAGGAGCCAGCCGCCATGCTTGCTCCTGCAAACATGCCTGGGGTCTTTCTTCCCTTCCTCCGCGACTGGTACAACGTCCTCCTTCTTGGCCTTGGCTGCCCCCTGAGGATGGCCTTCTGGACCCTCAGGGTCTCTGTCCTCTTTCTTGTCAGTGCTCTTGCTGGATCTCCTCAGTTCTTGAGTGGGGTTCCTGGGGATGCTCCAGTGGCCGTCACCCTTCCACCCTTCCTCCTCCCCTGCAGGGTTTGCCTCAGGAGACCTCCTGCAGCTTCTGGTCCTCACTAGCTTCTCCACGTCATACCTTGAGCACTTCCCCATGTCCAGCTCGCTGGTCCCCAGGGACAGCTTCTCCCTCTGCTGGAGCTCCCTTTCTCTCTTGCACTTCTCGCATCTGATAATTTCACCGGAGGTTTTTTCAATCTCCACCCCCAAGTGCTTCTCTCCCCTGGCATGCCTCTCCTCCAAAGTGGCTTCCCTGGGCAGCTTGCTACCGGGTTCAGGCTCCCATTTCCCCCTTGCCCACTTCTTCTGGGCCCTCACCCGGTCTTCCAGAGCCAGCCCCACAGAGGTCTTTCCCTGGAGCCTGATGGCTGTCTTGCAACCCGCCGGCTCACCGCAGCTCTTGGTGGTTTCAGACTCCCCACACTGGTGGTCCCCTTTCAGAGCCTTGCTGTAAAGCCTGCTCCTCAGCCGTGGAGAAGGGACACGGCTGTGCTGGGTCAATGTCAGCGCACGGGCTTTGTTGGGGTATAGTTCTTCTATAGCCACCTGAATGTTCTTCAACGTCAATGGTTCTTTGCCCATGGCAATGAACGCATCCCCTTCCCTGAAGAAATCAGAGACACTCTTGATTTCCTTGCCCTTGAGGTTAAATAGTTTCCTCACACGATCATTCTTCCATCTTGGAAAGCCCAAGCCTTCGGAGATGTCTGCTATGAGTTGCTCGAAAGTCTGCACCGACCGCCTGTTGAGAAGCAGGGTGATCTTACGGAGGGGCTGCCCCCCTAGCTTCACCACGGTCACGACCCTGGGTTTTAGCGGGCTATTCTCACCAAGGGCCAAGTGATGGTCATTCCGAGGGCTGAACAAGGGCACGACCGGGCCCCGGGGCCCCAGGAATGGTTTCTCCAGATTCCCTCTGCCAGCAGGGAGCCAGGAGCCTTGCAGTTTCCTCTCTGTGATTCTGGAGCTTAAATATTTTAGAGAATGGTCGCATAGGCTTCTATGCCCTGCAGCGGGGAAAAGACAACAGAGTATTAGTCAAGATAGGTTCAGAGAGCCCTGGTCTTCACCAAAGCTTTACTAAAGATTGCTCATTCTACCATTGCAGCTTATAAGTATGGTCACTAAGTGTACCTTCATATTTTAGGTCCAATCCCCAGCCTTCTCTATGAGACACAAGGTGTGCAGAATAGATTCAACAATGGGCCTTCAATGACTTCTGTAGGCCATACAGGGACTCTCAGGCTGGACCATGCCTCAGCAGCCTTCTCAAGGTGATAGATACCAGGCTGTGTGAATACAACTACCCCAGCTACACCAAAGTGAAATGACCTTCAAGGATCTAAAGCCGAGATAAAAGGTGCCAGGTTTGCGGCCCAAGAAGCACCAAGAGGCAGGAACATTCTGGAACTTTATTTTAAAAACTATCCTTGCCAAGAATAGTCTCTTCAGCTTATTTTTCAGCTCACTCAAGGTGAGGCAATATGTGAAGAGGTTGTGATCACAGGGTTTGAGCCAGATGTGGACGTTAATCCTGGCATGGTACACTGACTGTTTATGTGAAGTTGGGCAACTTAATTGCATTTCAATTTTTTCATCTCTAAAGTATGAATGATATGCCTTCCTCCCGGGATTTTTGTGAAGAACAAATGAGAAAATGATTACAATTAACAGAGTGCTTGACACACAGTAAAAGTACAGTAATTCCCAGTTACTAACACTGTTCTATGATTGTAGAGTTATAATTTCATTTTATCATAACAATTTATTGATAAAGTAGAAGTCTACTGTGCACAGCTTGATGGGCCAATATAATATGGCAGGTATTTCTTAAAAGCTCTGACTGAGATTCTCTTGAATTAGCATAGGAATTGAAGGAGGTTTTAATCTAGGTATAGAAACTTCCTTCTCCAGATGGTATTTTTCCTCTCCTTATTGAAGAAAAAGGGAAAAAAACAAGGACATATTAATGTTCAGAGCTTAAATAATAAGAATACAATGAATAAAATAAGACTTTGTACTTCCTGATTGACTACACCCAGCTGGAATTAAGTATTTGAGGCAAAAGTGATTTAATGTCCCCAATTCCTATCCAAGTCATGTTAGGAAACTAGAAAACAACAGAATGTATAACCTAGTTAAACCATAAAAGTGGGCTGAGAATTATTAAAGTTACCCAACAGGATCCATGTGTCAAATCCTACATGTAGGAATCTGTTGTTTATGCTTCCTTTAAAAAGAATTTTAAAATAATTATTTATTAGTATATTTTAATCAATTATAGCAGAAACCCCAGTTGTTCCAGGATGGACATTTTGGCTTAGCATATCAACACAAAATGCTTTTTGTTTTTTAATTATAACATACAATCTGTTCTAAGATGATTTCCATCTAGACGCAGGTGTCAGATGAAATGACAAGGTAGTGGCTGGTACTTATCTTCCCACATGCCACAAATTTATGATCTTAGCAGTCACATTTACAGTTAAACTCTTTATGGACATCTGTTATCCCTTTTCTTCTCACAGTCTCTCTAATCACTCTGCCTCCATTTTTGTCTTGAAGAGTTGATGATTAGAGAAAGAGATCTCAAGCAGTGGTACTAGTTTGTGTTTCCTGCATTGGGTAATTAAGGAAGGGTGTAAAGGAAGGTGACCATCAAATGCAAGTGCACAATGGTGTTCTCATTTGTTATTCTCATGTACTTCATACAGCGTAGGACCCTTGATACATATTTATAAATGAAATCCTGATTATTTTCTCAGAAGATTCAATATTGGGACAGGAAAAAGGAATGCTTTAACCTATATCATAGACTGGGGCTTTTCCAAGCAGATGTGGGGAAACAGTAGGAAAGCCCAAGGGATCAACCACTGGCTGAGGTCAGAAGAGGGAGGAACCACTGGGAAAACTCAGAGGCACCAAGAGGCAAATCAAAAGGAAATAAATACCAGAAGAAAAAGTAACCAAGAATGCTTGGAGGATAGAGTTGAGTTGGGCTTTCAACACATTATGATGTGGAAGCTACCCAGTACAGGGGTGAGGAATCATGATGCACAGATGGACAAATTGTCTACATGGCCATCGAGGTCAGCAGATGAATGTAGAACTCAGGTTGGAGAGGAAAACACTGGTTACATGGAGAAATGAATGAAAAGTTGCTACATGACAGTGTCAAAGCCAGGCAGTATGTTATATTACTGGAGTCTGTCTAAATGAAGGAAGAGTGCTACAAAAGAAAAGAGAAATAATTGCTCTGAAGCACCCCTGGGGAGCTAAATTCTGAGCTCTGCCTTCAAAATCCACAGTCCTTGGAAAAGAAGAATTCTCTATTCCACAGAAGAAAAAGGAAAGGAACCCTCAAGGAAGTCCAGGAAGACAAGACAGCAGTCAGTGAATACATTTTGGATGCTGGAGCATTTAGCATAGAAGGAAGTTCTATGAACTCTTCTGAAAGGTTCAGAAACGGTTGTCAGGGAAGCATAAAGAGTACTCAGTAAACAGGATGAATGCAGGTGGAGTCCAATATGGTGGTGACTTAGGATTACAAGGATGCAAACCAAAAAGGAAAGTGGCCTCAAGATCCCAAACCTTGTAACTGTAGAGTCTGGATGTGGCACAGTGGTGCCCGCAGCTGTGGTAGGAGGAAAAGCGGATGTGCTCTCTGATCAGCTGTGCTCAGCCAGTTTCAGGCAGACCCTACCTCAAAACTGGCCCTAATCCTGGGTGGTTAGGAGAGCAATCTAGTAACACAATTGAACAAGAAGGGGCCCTAACTAGAGCAGCCTCCATCCCAGTGCATGGTCAAAAAGGATATAAAGACAAAACAGCTTAGCTTCCACCGCACCAACCTCAGGCGTACTTAGTCCACAGCCCAGACATTCACGAACTCACTCCAAAGCTCCACTGTCCAGAGGCAAGAGTGAGAAGTCAGTTCCTCACCTCCCCAGTAAGACTGGGGCCTACAGAAATTGCACTTCAGAGTCCATGTGGCTCTACAGGAGAGCACCAGAAAAATGCAAACTTGGGGTGCACCACTTTGTATCCTCTCTCTCTCACAAGGCCTCCTTCCTCCTTTAAAATTTTTTAAAATAGTACAGAGTAAAGGTTTTTTCTTTCTAAAGTAAGAGAAGGAGTCAGTCAGGAGACTCTGAGTGCTAAGCAAACATTAGAGAGAAGGAGAACACAGCACAACCCTTGGTCCCTAGGCTCAGTCTCTAAGAACATTCTTGTCCCTTGTGAGCTAGTGAGGCGTGGCCTACAGCCACATTGCCTTGGTACCTACCCCCATCATTAAGACTAGAAAGCCAGGGCCATCCAAATCTACTCATCTGCAATAACAACCTTACTTACAGAATCAGTTAAATAGAAACACATGAAAGTGCCAGTGGTTCTACCAATTTTGACCTACATAAAACAGAACTGTCATACAGCTCAACCTAATACAAGTTGAGCATCCCAAATCTCAAAATCCAAAATGGAAAATGCTCCAAAATCTGAAACTTTATGAGCACTAAGGCTCAAAGGACGAGTGCAGTGGTTCTCAACCTTCCTAATGCCCGCAACCCTTTAATACAGTTCCTGTGGGTTGAGAACCGCTCGCTAGTGGATCATTTCAAATTTAGATTTGTAATGCCACTGGTAAAGGTAATACAAATGTTCAAAAGTTAAAAAAAAA